ATTTTTTTTTTTTTTTTTTTGAGGGCTTTCCTTTTACCCGTTCTCTCCACTCCCGATGATCAAATTTCAGTTCAATTTCCCAACTCTACGTGGGCTCTCGAGTCCATTGCAGGGACACATTCATCTTCGTCTTGCGCAGAGCTGAGGTCCCCAAGAACGCTCCAACAGACTGCGATTCGAATCAAAGAATAGCCAAATCAGCGTCCATGGCTTTCCATATTCTTCACCTCCTCCTGTTTTTAACTTCTGCTCGTCTCTGTTTATCAGGTGCGTTAAAAGAGAAGGGCTATCAAATTTTTGTTTCAATGGCTTCTTATTGCTTGTTGACCATGAATGCCAATCAGTCTTGATGTGTTAAATGTAATGTAACTAATGTGTATGGGTTACTTCCTTACATTTCGTAATCTGGGTAGTCATTAGCAGCTAAAGGGTACATTATTTGAAGTAATTAGATGCCATTTTGCTGCTTGATGTCTAAATTTCACCTCTGAAGGTTTTGTTTGCTCGGCTGTTAGTTTTATGCTTCTTTTCAAGTTCTTATTGCTTATACGAAATTATTTTTAAACCAATAAGATTATATTCTATCCCCGCGAAGCTAATTATCTGGTTCATACGACAATATCACACATGGATGAAGAATAATTATGGGTTTAAGTAAATTTTATCCTTTCTATTATAATTTTACTAAATTTTGGAGTGAGCATTTTGATGTTGACTACAGAGCAAGAATCCTGACCTGTTATCATTTTCTATAATGCATTCAACAGATGAACACTCAATGGAATCGGTTCCTGATCTTCAAAATTCAATGTACCTTGTAGTTGATGGTTATCCGTGTATTCGATTACTCAATCTCTCTGGAGAAATCGGTTGTTCAAGTAGGTTATTTTGCACTATACGTAGAAAATCTATTACCTTTGGAAATGCCAACGTAATCCTTAATGGTATGGAGGCGTCATTCATGTATTTTTACTATGTGTACTGCAGATCCTGGGCGAGAAAAGGTTGTAGTACCAATGATTAACTTCAAAGATGCTGATGAGATATTTCAACCGTCTGCAATTTTAGTTTCAATGGATGACATCTCGAGTTTCTTTGCTAGGTAGGTTTTAGATTTTTATATATACTCCCTAGCTTCATACATATTCTCGTTTCATTGTAAGGATTATTTTCTAAACTTGGGTCTACAACATGTTCCAAGCCTCCCAATGAAAAATTATAAATAAGTGAAGACGCATTCTCATCTATTAAAAAAAAAAAAAAAAAAAAAAAAAAAAAAAAAAAAAAAAAAANAAAAAAAAAAAAAAAAAAAAAAAAAACAAAAGAAAGAGAGATTTTGAGTGGAAAAATAACTCAGAAAATCAAGGTCTCCTTTGGGCCTCTTGTACTATAATCTATCACCACTAGCGATTGAATTCATATAAGAAGTCCTCAATTGCTCTTTTCCTTGCATATTATATGAACCGTTTCTCCAGTGGGAAGATATAAATGATCTCTTCCTCCATTTTCTTCTTTGCTTATTAGAGTTGGAAGAAAACTATCTGCTCAGGTAGATTTTTTTTTTTGGAAACCTATTTCAGATTACAGGATGATTCCAATTTTGCAAGTAATGTTGGTGGTGTTTTAATCAAACCGGGGACTGAAATACAGAAAAGAACGAAAGGTAGAGTTCATTTATCTATTCAGGTTCTTTTCCCCCTTATTTTTTTCTTTCCTTTTCTTTTTTTGTAGTTGTGTGTAATTCAGACATGCACGTCAATAACTAACGTGGTGATTTATTTTCCTTTGCAGGGTTTTCTCCTGCTCAAAAGTTTCCACAAGCTAAATTTGCTCCTTACCAAAAAATTGACTATGAATGGAACCCAATTGTATGTTTGAATTTTCTTGCTGAGTTTTTTATTTTTTTTAGGAGTGGTCAACCTTTAGAAGCTTTTTACTTCCGAACTCTTATTTTGTTCTCACTTATAAAGCTAAGCACCAAACTATTGATTGTTGGTTGATATTATATCCGCCATATGATTATTATGAGTTAATCTCAGCCTTCCATATATGAGTAGAAGCTTATAAGTCTTTTGTTAGAAGTATTCAGCTTTTAGCTCCTTGGTGGAGCCCTTTTCACAAGGATTCCTTATGTAACTATAGCCTCTCCATGATTATTAGAATTGGAAGACCTCTTTGTAATAGTTTTCACTTTTGGGTGGGGGATTTCTCTATTTTTGTGTGGCTTTTTTATACAAGATATATCTTCTATGAAAAGATAAATAATAATAATAATTAGAAGCTGGTAAGAGTTTTGTCGGCCCATGCAGTCATTAGGGCTGATCTGTGTTTAAATTTGGAGCTACTACTGACTCAAGGGTTTATCTTAACTGAGTCTGAATTCTGATTTTTCTTGAAAATCAGCCTCCATCGCATCACTTTGAAAAGAGGCTGAATTCTGTAATTACTATCTTGGTCTCATTTTTTAAGTTACAATTTCCTCCTGTAGTTCATCGGGACTAGTTTTGTGAGTTTGTCTCTTTTACACCCTATACATTCTTTCATTTTTCTCAATGAGTGGCTTAGTTTCTTATGAGATAAAAAAAAAAAAAAAACTTTGTTTTATAACAGGCTTTCATTTCTTCTTTGGCTTGACAATCTGTAGCATCTTACAATTTGCACTTGCAGGGATCTGGAGTTATGTGGAATCAATATAACTTTCCTGTTTTCTTAATATCTGAGAGCAGCATTTCCCCTGTACAGGAGGTAATTCTGATTCTTAATCACTCAAAACGTTCAATTGCCTTACGATATTTCAATTACCACAAGGCTGTTTGGTTCAGTTGTTATATGCTTGTAGGGAAATCAATTTTTTATTTTGATTAATCTGATGGTTTCCATCAGACATTCCTCAGTCTTTCACATTGGTAAGATCATAATGTACTTTTACAGTTTTTTTTAAATGGTTAGCAAAACTGAAATAAAAACAACCCAAAATAAAATGTAGAACCGTTTATGAATAAGTGCATGTGTCATAGGGTTGAAACTCATTGATATTTTCCAATTATAATGTAATTTTGCAATTATGTTTACATTATTTGCTGGCAGTGGGCTTGGGCTGCTACAATTGAAGAGATATTTTGTTCTTAAAAGATAATTATGCCAATACTTTTGACCAGAAGAATTTATCTGTTGCACAATCGTACCACTTAATGCAGGCTGCTTCAAAAAATGTGAAGGACAAGAAAGTTTACACGTCTAATGTTGCTGAATTTGATCTGGTGATGCAGGTACTTAGCTTCTGGTTTTAAACATGATTACATTTCAGTGATTTCACATCTTAAATGGTTATTAAATCACACTTTGCAAAGTTCATTTAATTGATTTTCTTTTTGTATAGACAACCAAGGCTGGAACTCATAATTCAATGTCTTGTTTGAAAGAAGAAACATGCCTTCCGTTAGGTGGATACAGGTTAAGTTTTATTTGATTTTTAGTTTTATTTTTGTCTCCACATAGTTTTACAATTTTATTCTGTTTAATTTGTTAAAAGAGATCAGTATCTTTACAGTGTCTGGTCGTCGCTTCCTCCAATCAATATTTCTTTGGATAAGTCTAAGCCCATCATTCTCACAGTAGCTTCAATGGACTCTGCGTCTTTCTTCCGTGATAAAAGCATTGGTGCCGACTCCCCCATCTCTGTATGATTTATGTTGAGCAAGTATATTAGTCATAAACCTTACCTGGTTATTCTGCTTCCTGTTAAAGTCTTTCTGGTACATTTTAGGGCCTGATTGCATTGCTGGCTGCGGTTGATGCACTTTCCCATGTGGATGGACTGGATGATCTTCATAAACAGGTTCTTATAGAAGCTATTTTCTTTGTATCCTATTGTACTGTATTTGTATTAATAGCTATTAACTCAAATGCAAATATCCTATAATCTTTTCATCTACATAATTGCATTCTAGATATAACTGTTATGTCTGACTATGTAGAATTTGAGATATAATTGCTATTTCTTGTTTTTATTGCGTTCTCTTGATTTAGTTATTGGATTGTCCTATCTTATTCAATCTTAGTTACAACTTCTCGAAATTAGTTTTGAAATGGAGAAAAAAACCCATTTTTCATTCCTACAAAGGACATCAGAAACACAAATTGGTGGAGAAGAAATTACTGTGGTAATAGGTTTCTCGCCAACACAAGGAGTTCTAGCCACAGAAGGCCTACTTGAAAAATTCAGTAACGTTTTTGTTCAAAGACTGAATAGACTTACATCTGATCATTATCCCATTCTACTTTCCATGGGTTGCTGTAAATGGGCCCCTCGCCCTTCCGCTTTGAGAATATGTGGCTGAATCCTTTGTTTGTCAATGGTAGAATATTGGTGGAAGAATACGCCCCTCCGTGGGTGATCGGGACATGGTTTCATCAACAAACTTAAAAAACTAAAAGAAGTCTTAAAGAAATGGAACAAGGAGGTTTTCGGTTGTATCTCCACAAAAAGAAACCAACTACTTACTAAAATTGCCCTTCTTGATCAAATGGAGGAAACTGACTATTACATTAGTTCAACCCACATAAAAAGCTCATGAAAGCAGAACTTATTTCGTTGGCAGCAAAGGAAGAACAATCTTAGAGAGAAAAATGTAAAAAAAAAAACGATGGTCAGAGGAGGGTGACATAAACTCCAATTTTTTTCATCTATCGTATCATGCAAAGAAATGAAAGAGTTCCATCATGGAAATTCTATCCACATAACGCAGAAGTTTAGTAAATGAAGATGAAATTGTCTCAGAATTTGTGTCCTTTTACATATCCTTATATACAAAGGACAATGCCCTCTTTGAATTTTTCCACGATCTTGATTGAGGTCCTATTGATCAACTGCAAGCTGCCTCCCTCAAGTTTATTTTCACCGTATAAGAGGTGGGGAAGGTGATTCAACATTTGGGATCTGACAAAACTCCAAGATCGGATGGTTTTATCTCATAATTTTTCAAGAACGGTTGGAACTTTATGAGAGTTGATTTCATGATAGTATTCCAATATTTTTTTCGAATCGAAGTTATCAATGACAACTTAAATGAAACCTACATTTGTGTGATCTCAAAGGATGCCCGCAATGTTGCAGACTTTTGTCCCATAAGTTTACGACCGGACTATGTAAAATCATAGTAAGGGTATTATCAAAACGTCTTAAATGTTCTCCCTCTCACAATTATCGGGCAACAAACAACTTTTGTACAGGGACAACAAATTCTCGATGCATATCTCATGGCAAACGAACTCATAGATGAATGAAAAAAAAAAAAAAAAAAAAAAAAAAAAAAAAAAAAAAAAAAAAAAAAAAAAAAAAAAAAAAAAAAAAAAAAAA